TTGTTTTATTTAAATTAAGTTAACATATAAGGTATTATTAATTTCAGGGGTAGAATTGTGTGATTCATCATTTGCATATAACACCCAGTGCTCATTACATCAAGTGCCCTCCTTAATGCCCATCACTCAATTACCCCATCCCCACAGTATATATATGAGAAAGAGGCGGGGCTGGGTTGGGAGAGAGAGAAAGCTGGGCTCCATGTCATGCTCACAGAAATCCCAAACAATGTGGAGATGTAAGAAAACAAGAGATAAGGGAACTCTCCAGACCACCCACCCCAGGTCTCCAAGGAGTAAGTCTTCCTTACGACCGTCTACTGTGGTCAACAAAAAATAACCAGACCCTAAAAAGAAGTAAATCATTAAATGTTTTATCACTAGTCCTTAATCAATGGTGAATCAATGGTGCTGCCAGTAGAGAAGCCAGAAAGATTTAAGTTCCCTGGTTAGCTTTCTGTAAAAGACCAACCCTAAAAGCTCTCAGCGGCGATACTATTGGGACCCTCTGTATCCTTGCTTAATAAAATGTTGCTTTACTTACTCTCCATTGTCCACAAGATTCATTCTTCAACTGTGAGACAAGCACCCTGCTTTCCCCCTTCATTTACACCACATCTTCTTTATTCATTGCTCTATCGATGGACACCTGGGCTCTTTCCATATTTTGGCTATTGTGTACATTGCTGCTACAAACACTGGGGTGCAGGTGCCCCTTCGAATCACTATTTTTTTTTTGAAGATTTATTTATTTATTTTGGAGAGAGTAAGCGAGCACAACCTTGGGGGGAGAGGCAGAGGGAGAAGGAGAAGCAGGCTACCCGCTGAGCAGGGAGCCCCATGCAGGGCTGGATCCCAGGACCCCAGCATCACGACCTGAGCTGAAGGCAGCTGCTTAACTGACTGAGCCACCCAGGCGCCCCCTCAAATCACTATCCTTCATCCATTTTTAATTCATTTTTTGTAGGGTATACGAAAGTGGTCCAGTTTCATTCTTCTGCATGTGGCTGTCCCATTTTCTCAACACCATTTGTTGAAGAGACTGTCTTTTTTCCATTGGATATTCTTTCCTGCTTTGTCGAAGAGTAGTTGCCCAGAGTTGAGGGTCCATTTCTGGGTTCTCTATTCTGTCCTACTGACCTAGGTTTCTGTTTTTGTGCCATACCCATGCTGTCTTGATTTGTAATACAGCTTGAAGTCAAACGGGGATGCCTCCAGCTTTGGCTTTCTTTTTCAATACTAACTTGGCTATTTGGGATATTTTCTGGTTCCATACAAATTTTAGAATATTTGTTAATAATTCCCTTCCGAGTGGAAATTTGGTGCACTTATGCTAACAATTCATTTACTGGAAATAACACGTCTGCAACCCTCATTTAGGGATGGTATTGTGGAGGGATGTGCAGGTTTAAAAAGCCATAAATATGTAGCCCGTGTATGTGGGTCACAGGGAGAGATATTAAAAAGGTGGTTCTACTTCTGAGCTTCCTGGTAAAATAACTGCCCCTGAGACCTTCAGGCCGTCACATTGTCATCTCTCGGTATTACTTTTGTAAGTTTTCCTCTCGGTATTACTTCTTAAGTTTTTCTAATGTTGTAGGTTTGTCCTCCTATCAACCATTTTACTGTTATTGGCAAACAGAGGTTCTACCTGTAATATGGAATTATCACTTCAATAACTTAAGGGAAGGCAGAGGAAGTTTGACCTCTTATTTTCTTTCGGTAAACATTTCAATCATTTATTGACATTCAACTTCTTGTGAGTATTTAACAACTATTTCATTCCCCTCTAACTTCATTATTCAGTAACTAAATGGACATCTATTTCTTTTTTAAGTAAATTATTCTATCCATCCATGTTTGTTCCTGTAGTTCCTTTTGAGTATTTCATCTCTTTGTGTATGTCCACATGCACAACCTCCTCAGCTCAGCTCTCATTAGATCTCACTTCAATCTCTGCAAAATCTTTCCTGGAAGTGACAAGGTAAAAGACAAAACCCATTTGCAATCTGTTTAGGAGTCCATCCAATCAGAGCAGAGCATGCATTCCAAATTTGGTTGTCCTCCAACCTCCTGAAAATCCTGATATACTCTCCACCAGTTCCATTCCTTTTGTCCTGTCTCCTTTAACTTATTTACTATTTGATCTTAGCGTGGCCTTTAATTTAAAAAGATGGTTGTTACTTAGCCCATGCCCATGTGTATGACAGCAAAACATCTCATCTCTTCCCCTTTCTTTCACAATTTTAGGCTACAGGATGGAATGAACACAGTTCTAAAAAAAAAAATAAAAAAAAAAAAGCTAAGGTTCTGGGTCTTCTATGAGAAAGAGGAATACCCTAAAGTTCCAGGTGCTTCTTGTAGCCCATGTAACAGACTACTAGGTCTCCACAAAAATCTGTGCACTTTCCCTTCCTTGAAATTTGATTGTACATAATTGTACATGGCTAGACACTTCTACAATTTTCCTTGCAGGTAGGTATGGCCCTGTGGCTATTCTCAGCATAGAAAGTAAGCAGAAATTATGAATCCCATATTTAAGAGAGGAATTTAAGAACCAAACTGCCTCCCCAGATTTTTTTACCCTTCTGCAGGCTTGATGCTTAAGACAATACTGTCTTTGGGGATGGCAGACTCAGATGGAAGCAAGCTTGGTACATAAAACCCACATGGAACAGTGCCACACAGCACTAAATACACTCATGTTTGATTTTTATAAGAATTTTTTTTTGGTATTTGATCCATTGTTTTTGGGTTTACTTTTCGTAGCAGGTTAGTCTATTGCATTATACCCAAAATGTCAAGGCCACTATGCCTCTGCTCAGACCCCTAGGAGAGTCAGGGCTGCAAATTCATTCCTCCAAATCTCACTGGACAACTTTCCCCAGATCTCACCTACACAATCCCAGCAAGTACTTTGTCTTTCCTTACTGTCTAAGGCCATTCACTGAACACCTCCACTGGCAGAGGACAGCTAACTCCTTTTTACCTGGGACTTATTACATGGGAAATAAGTGGAAGGGAGCAATTACTCAGGCAGATTCTACCATCCCTCATCCTCAGACCCCCACCAGCTCTGTAGGCAATGAGTTGCCTGCTCTATCTCCTTTCATAGATCTAATTGAAATGCATGGTTTGTCTCCCCCTCTGATATAAATGTTGGGTATTCATCCTTTCTGATGGAGGCATAATACTCCATTGTATATATGGACCATATCTTCTTTATCCATTCATCTGCTGAAGGGCAAATCAGGATGAAGAGTGCATTTGGCCTCTGGTCAACCACAAAGTTCATCTCCCAAAGAGAATTCTGCCCTAGAGCAAACCAGTATGGGATTTTTACTGCAACCTGTACTTCATGTCCCCACAGACACCAGAGCTGAGCCCTGAGGATGAACTAGTTACTATTTCCTCAAACCATGAAGAAACATCAAATGTCCAACAGACTGAGGGCTAAAGACAGGGACTGGACTAGGCAGAATCATTTTCTCTGGCCATGATCCCTTTCTATGATCTTCCACCTTGTAAATTTCTAAACATGTTGAGATCTTCTTTTCTCTGCCATTACCTTCTACAAAAATACCTCAGAAGGGTAAGGGGTCTATATAGAGATGAACCTATCTGCCCCACACTAGGGCCCTGGTAAGGATAGACTGCATTACAGAAAGAGCTGTCCAATAGAAAGACAATATAAGCCACATGTAATTTTAAATTTTCTAGTATCTAAAAAGCAAAATGAAACTGGTGAAGTTAATATGTATTTTTTAATCCAGAATATGCAAAATATTATCATTGCAATCTACAACAGAAAAGCTAGAAGATATTTTACATTGTTTTTTAAAATTAAGTCTTCAAAGTCAGGTGTGCATTTTATACATAAAGCACACTTCAATTCAGACTAGTCACACCTGAAGTACTCAATAGCCTCTGGTAGCTCTTGGCTACCATACTGGACAGCAGCTCTAGTTGACTCCTTGATATTTGTTTCCACACTCACATCCACCTCCTAATTTCTTCTAGAGCTGGCTCAAAAGCATACACCACCTCTAGCAAAGTCATAGCAGCTCACCCACCAGCTGTTCACGTTTGAGCATAAAGATAGGCGGGAAGCCCGAAAAACTCCTTCTCTTCCTAAAACCACTTTATATTTTCTTTGTATGTTTCCCTCCCATTCTGGGAGAAAAATCTGTATTGGAGTGATCATTTTCTTCTCCCCTTTATCTACTTCAGTGAATTTGGGAGAATTTGTTTTAAATTTTCAATTACTACCCTTAAATTTTTAAATCCATGAAGGTTGCAGTGAAAACGGAAGTTAAGATTTCTTTCTTTGAATTTAAATCCACCAAAGTTAACTTGTATAATGCTTTTTAGCACTCTATCCTATATATACTTACACAGAAATACAGTAATTTCTTTGCTTATTTATTACATTTTATAAAACCTGACAACAATGTTACAATGCAGGTCAATTTTTTTCATAAATGGAGATAGAAATGAAACTTAAACAATGTATTAGCAAAAACAAATCCAATATTGCATATGAAGAACAGTGATTTATTCCAGGGCTTGGTGTTACACTTAAAAATGGAAACCAATCAATGTATTCCAGTTACAGAATAAAAATGACAGAGGATTATCTCAATAATTATAGATACTATCTGCTAAAATTCAATTTTCCATTCAGTACCAAAAAGTATAGCAAATTAATAGAAAGGAACCTGCTGAATTTGCTCCCATGAATCAGCAACAACAAAAAAAACTCTGTCAAATATCATGCTTAATGGTAACATGTTGAAAGCGACCCCCCAACCCATCCCAAGATCTGTAATTAATTAGGGATGTTAACTATCACCTCTGGGTATATTCTGGCGCTGAGCAAATGTCTGAAGGGAAGGATGTAAGAATACGAGAAAATGGAAGTTCAGAAAGGAGAGACTGAGGTACAGATGAATCTCAGAGTGAAGGATCCTGCTCAGATGTGGATGCAGACAGAGGAACGTTCAAGGGCTTGGCCGACGCAGGGTCATTGGGACTACACAGTTGCAAGGATTAAAATATGGAGAAAGGGTGGTAGGAAAGTAATATTTAGAGAAGGTGTAGATGGGAAAGCCATGGTTCGTGACATTATAAAAGGAGACAGTGCCGGCCTCATAGTCTAAGAAAACCCCAACACGGCGAGGGGGCACCATCATGGAGAGGAGCAAGGAAGTGGAAGACTCCTCATAGGCTCTATATTCATGTTTATGATGCAGCCCGATCACCCAGTAGCCACTCTGAGGTTGGTATCTGGAGTAAACATTCCGATTGTTTGTAAACTGGTTGAAACAGAACGTAGAGTCAACTGAATTACAGCATACCCCTAGGATCCAGTCAGTCTTCTTGGTCACATCCACCTCCCAGTAATGTTTCCCAGAGGAGAAGTGCTGAGAGCCCAGGATACCACAGTCATAATGCTCTTCCAGGTAAGACCCAGACAGCTTGGCACCCACAAATCTCACCTGTCTTCGGTTTTTAGACATGACAAGATTTAAGTTAGCTGTGTGTGGATTCAGAGTCACGTCCACTGTGGGAAAAGGTACAAAATCAGCAGATGACGATGGGTACAGGGTCTTAAGACACCGAGAAGAGGAAAGACAGAAGTGGAGGAATCGGAACTATGTGGGGCGATGGAGAGATGGTATTAACACCTTCTAACAGAGTGTGTGGTATGTCCAGGGGGGAGCATATGAGGAAGGATAAGGACATGTCAGCTCAAAGATGCCATGGTTGCTACTTACCCCAATAGCTCTGGACATCTGTCAGTTCTGTAACAATAAATAGAGTCAATTACATTGTACAGAATGGACATAGGTCAGGTCTGCTTGGTTGAGGGGTGAGGTAGGGAATTCTATAAGGATGCAAGCTGGCCATCTTGCTTCCCCCTTAAGTATGAACTGCATCTTCTTCAGCATTGAATGTCCCTCTCTCCCTGTCCTTTCTCTGCACCACTACTCCCAAACACCAACTCTATACTCTATTCTATTTATTGCTTATGTTACAATAATTCCACCTCCAAAAAGCTGTTCCCTGAATCTCCTCACCTCTGAACACTCGCAGCATCCTTTTCAGATCTGGAACTCGAAACATACTCTTCAGCTTAGTAGGGAGAGCTTCTGGCTTCTTTAGGGTCCAGAACTCACTTCTAGAGAGAACAGACCTATGAATATCCTACACTGCTGGCCTTGGGTTTCTCCAACATCCATCCCCTCATCAACCAAGCCCCTGGGAGAACTTCAGCATTCTTTCTTGAAGAAAATTAACATCCGTCTGCAAAGAGCTCTGGCACTGGGACCAGAAGACCTAGACTAGAAACTAGCTTCTCACCATCTGTGCAAACTTTGATAAGATCTAATCCTGCAAAGGATTGTTTTGTTTTTGTAAAATACCATTTCCCTTCTCTCTCTCTCTACATCCTAAGATTATATAAAATTAAACAATCACTGGGAAATCTTTTGCTAACTCTAAGAAAGATACTAAATACTTACAGTCAGTGCCATCTTAAGGGTCTAGTGTAAGGGGCTGGAGATGTGTGTGTTGACAGGGAGAATACCAGGAACCTGCTTGCTGGGACTCTGAGAGTACTGAGTAAAGGGTTTCCTTCTGAACAGTGAGGTTAGGCCTTAAGATCTGTCAAAGGCCTAGGGACAAAGGCCTCCAGAACAGTGTTTGAGGAGGCACTGTCTCTGGGAGTATCATGCCAGTTGGAGAAAGGAGACATCTTCACCTCTAAACCATGAGTGAACACTTCAGGAGTGACAACAGGCTCCATATTTCATGTGTCTGTGAGAAGCTTAAAGGTGCCAGGTGTGTGGGGAACCTCAGAGGTCACCTTGATGGATGAGATTCTAGAGTATGGGACAGAGAAGAGAACATGTTTTTGTTCCAGGGCCAAAACCAATCTTCTCAAGACCTCATGTCTATGTTTTTACTGGAACTGAGAAAAATGGGACGTCTGAGGAAAAACAGGTAGCAAGGCAGGACTCTTCTAAAGCCAAGAGAGAAAGGGAAATTGAAAGCAAATGACCGAGGCACTGATTCTTGGACCTTGGAAAGACAGATGGGAAAGTTCCCCAATAAAATACTAAAAGCTACTAAAATCAGGGCTGGAAACAGGTAGTTTTGTATCAAAGGGTTGCATCATGGGCTACTACAGGAGTTAGTGATACTGCAAATCTTATTCTTAAGAACACTACTGTCCCCAATTTGTGTCCATCCCCCACAAAATTACCCCAAATTCTCTTACCATAGAAACTAGGTAATTCCCTTTATTTCAGGGAACTCAAAAATTCTCAAGATGAGCAACTCATGACATCACAGTCCTAAACCTTCCCTGCCTTGTGATTTTTCTTCTTTACTTTTCCACCGACCATAAGATAACTCTATGGGTATAGGAATCTTTTGTCAACCCAAGGGAACCACCCTGTATTCTCTCCTAAACATACCTTTTCATGACATCACTCACATCCTAGGAAGGAAAGAGAAATGTTAAGTCAGGGAGTAATAGGTTCATCCATGTTCCTTATCCCAATCCCACCACCTCATGGTATGATGGGAATAAAGATGGACCCAAAATGGAGGCCACAAAGTAAAATACAAACTCAGAGTAGACTGTCCCTGAGACCCTACATAGAGATGTTGGGAGATGATTGAACTCATTCATTGGTACCTTTATTTTGATGACAGAGTGTGTATATTTGTATCATCTATTAGCACTAGAGAATCCCACATGATTAAGTCATAATTTCTGTCTTTGAGATGCTGCCATTCTCAAAGATGAGATGTTGCTATCTCAAGATTCAAGAGCCTTAAAAGTGGTTATTTCTCAAACTTCACCTCTTCTCACCGTTTATGCTACCCTTACTGACTTCATCCAGTTGTCTTGATTTCAACACACCCACGTTCATGATTCCCAAACCTGTCCTTCTGCTCACATCTCTCTCACATATGCCAGCAAATGAGCCACAGGCACCACAAAATCAAGACATTTAAAAAACAACACAAAACAAAACAAAACAAAACAAAAAAACCCTTACTTTTCCTGCAACTGTGAGGTCTCTTTCCTTTAATCTCCCTCAGTGCTGCCACCATCCATTTAATCACTAAATTCAGACAAAGCGTGATCCTAAAAACTACCTTCTATTCACCCTGATGTCCCATCTCAAACAAAGCCAGTCCCCATCTTCTAGCCACCTGCTCTTCACTGTCATTACTGCCACCGCCAGCCTCCCTAGAGCAAAGCTACCTCATGGCCTCCCCCTTGGTCTCCCTGACTTCTGTTCTACACACCACACTGACTGAAGAAAAGGCTTGATCTACACAACATAGGAATAATTATTTTCTCTGTGTTGGGGCTATTTTCAGCAGCATTTGACAGAAACACAGCTCAAAGGCTTGAATACAGAAAGCAGCAAAGGGGGTAGATGTGTCAATTTATACCGAATATCCAGGATGCATCAGCCTTCAGGCATGGTTGTACGGAGGAACTCAAATGGCCAATCTGGGGCCACTTCTTGGCTCCTTCTCTTCCATTAACTTTATTCTCAAGGGTCACACTGAAACTTGAGAGCTGCAGACTTCCATCGGTTATCAAATCTTAACGAGCAACAAAGTCACACAGATATGGAGAAGAGGAGGAAGATAGTGTGCTGGGTGAGCTCTAGAAAACCTGACTGTGAAACAGCACTCAAGTTAAAAGACCCACTGGGCAGTCATATGAAGAGGTGTGAGGGTCTCGACAGGGACCTGGGTGAAATCATACAAACTGATGATCTCTGCACTTAGGGAGCAATTTTTACAGCTTGAAAAATCTGTGGAGGGGCTAGAATGGGGCAGGGAGAAGCGTTAGGGTAACCCAATACCCAAGCTGAAGAAAAAGGGCAAGAGGAATAAAACGAAGATTGGAAACCAGAAGCAACGCGTGAGAAAAGCCCCAATAGGTAGAGTGTAGCTTCTCCATGACCCCAACACCAGGGCCCAAGAATAAGTAAAGAAGTGATTATTCTACCAACAAAGGGAGAGCAAGAGGAAAGCAAGAAAGTAAGGAATAGCCTGAAGTTTCCAGAATGTTACAAAATACATCCTGTCTCCACCATCAGTCACACCATTCACTCTATGTAGAAAACACCTGAAAAGATTTCAACTTCTGTTCAAGCTCCTGCATCAAATCTGTCCAAATTTGACACCTTGCACCCTCCTAGTGCACACACGTGCACACACATATACACACACACCCCAGAGCCCAGCCTTTTTTGTGCCTTAAAAAGACCTGTTTATACTTCTATTACAACATGTTAAATGATTCCGCCCAAGAGGAGAGAGTGAAAGCAAAGAAGGAATGATGATGACATACAGAATCTCTAAGTACTTGAGCCTGATGTGTGTTTGTCTGTGACTAAGCTGGGGTAAAAAGTACCCGACAAATCCCAACACAGCCTCAGAGACAACAGGTACCACATGGCCAGTGAATCCCAACAGGGGGAGAGAGGATTATACACCTACCCCACAGGGACATCTGACAATATCTGGAAGATTCTGGGTTGTCACAGCTGAGGGGAGATGCTACTGACATCCATCCAGTATGTGGAGGCCAGTGAGGCTTGCCAAACATCCTACAAGGTACCGGGCAGCCCCTCATGGCAACGAATTTCCAGCTCAAAGTATCAGTAGTGTTGAGATTCAGAAATGTTGCTCTAGAACATCAGTGGGTATAACAGATCTCCACGGTAACAAATAAACTTTTGGACTACACTTTGTATTTAATAAATAAAAATGAGACAGTCCCCAAGCATTTGTACTTTAATCATCCTATGTTTTACCCATGACCTCCATATGGTTTAATAGGCAAGAAGCACACCAGGGCCAAATAAATCTTTTTCTTGCCCCTACCAGGTCACGAACCCCATGCATGAAGGGAAGGAATGTTGGTCTCCCTTTGCCATGACTCTCAGACTAGGGGCTCCTCACGAGCCTTACCTGCAGCAGCTCCACCGCTGACCCCTGACACCGAAGCTCCAGATCGGAGATGAGCTCCCTCAGTGACTGGCTCTGCCGGACCAGCTCATTCTCAGCTTCTTCTAAAATACTCAGCCCCTTCCTCTCTTCCTCCTCCAGCTTTTTCAACTGTCGCTGCTCCTCTTTGTCTAGGATGCTTCTCAACTTATTAAACTCTGTCTGGATCCTGTGTCTCTCGGGTTCCATCTGATTCTTTGGGAACATGCAAGAGAAAAAGCCTGCTCATCTGCTGAGCTAGGGTCTCTGCTCTCGAACTGGGCTGGGGGTGGGCAGGGGTGGAGGGTCAGGCTCAGCGCTGCTCTCCTGGCCAGGTTTCACTGGGAAAGGAGGAGCAGAGATGGGAAGGAAGTCCCTCAGAACCTGTTCTTTCCTTCTGCTCTCTCTTCAGCTCTTCCCAAACCATGAGCCCCATGCTACCTTATCTAGGACTCTAAGACATAGACTGTGGCTCCCAGGGGAGGTCTAGATTTAAAGCTGCCTCCCCAGCCTCCTGGGCCTCTGCATCCATCTCCCCTTCCAATTTTGAGTACCCATGTGGGAATGATAAGCTGGTGTGTGACCTGTCTTTCCAGGAGCTTTCAGAACTTCCAACTGTAGAACAAGGTCTGGAATCAGGAATTGCCGGCTGCCAATGGCCACAGTTCCCCTCCTATGTAAGTATCTTTAAAAACCCGAATTCCTTTTTGATATGTTCATTCTCTAATTCCCCCTTCTCTATCCTTGTGCCATGAATAACACCCTTGTTGGGAAGGGCTGCAGTGAAGGATTATGCAAGAGAAGCTCTGCCAGCCAAATTAGGAAGAGATAGGACCCAGACTCCCATGCCCTGCCCCAATTCTTCTCCCAGGACACCTTCAGACCTTCAGAAGAATCCTTCTTACCTTCCAGGATGTCCTCTTCCTTATGATAACCGTGGCCAGTCTCTCAGCTTCCTGCTGCTCTAGCCTCAGCTTCCTCAGAGACTCCTGGAACTTCTCCTTAAAGAAACATCAGGGCAAGCAGGGTCAAGCACTACCTTATCTCTGTGCTCAGAACGTAGTGAATGGGGTGGGGGGGAGGGTATGCTGACCTCGGAAGCCTGTCCTGCTGGACTGAGAAATAAGAAGGCCTAAGGCTCTTTTATGCACAGGGGGTGTGCATAAAAAGCCAATGGGCTTTGGTGGATTCTCTTTCCTCCCAGGGAACCTGTCCATGCAGGACTTTCCCCCACACTCAACCACCGAGCCCCCTAGTTACCCTCCGCAGCAACCTGTACTCATGCGGAGCAGGTCTTGAGCAGCAAGGAAGAGATAAAGTCTCTACTCTTGGGCAGGAGGGCATTTTCTAGGTTCATCCTCTAGGCAAATGGGAAAACCAAAGAAATGAGATTATAGCATGGAGAAAAGTTACACTCTCCTGCCAAGGGCCCTGCTCCTCCCTGCCTTCCCTCTGGAATCCTACCTGGAACTCGTGGACAACCTCCTCCATAAGCACCGTGTGGTGACCTCGGTGCTCCTGAGACCGCTCACAAAGCCAGCAAATGAGCTTCCCATCCTCCTTACAGAATAGCTGGAGTTTCTCTCCATGGTGCACACAGAGAATCCCCTCCAGCTGCATCCCGGGGCCCAACACCACCTCTCGGAGCCTGTCCGCTATGTTGGCCAGGTGCCGATTTGGCCGCAGGTCCCCAGGCTGGTAGCTGGTCTGGCACACAGGACAACTGTTTTCCCCATCTTGGCCCATCACCGATTCTGTGCTATTCCCCATGATGCAAGCCTGGCAGAAGCTGTGGCCACAGTCTATGCTCAGGGGCTCTGTCAGGAGCTCCAGGCAGATGGGGCAGGTTACTTCATCTCGTATGTCCACCAGGAGCGCTGAGGTCATTGTAGCTTCTCTCCTGGCTCCTGCCTGCCCAGCCAGAATTTCTAAAGTGTTTCTTGCTTACAGAATCCTGAGTAGGTGAGGGGGAAAAAAAAAAAGGTTCAGGGTAAGAAACGAGTGTCAATAAAAGGTTGCTGAGTATCCTGGACAAACAGGCCAGATACCTGGGGTCACAAGGGCTTCTTATTCAAGCTTCAAACATGTTATTCATCCCCAGCTCATATTAGACATCAATTTCTACCCGCATCAGAACAAGGATTGATTTTCCTTCACTCTTGGTGGATGGAGGGACCAAGTGAAGCCCATGAGAGAAGTGGCCTTGAGTAAGCCACCATCTGTTTGATCTTTTCTCATACAACCTTGGTGTTAAAAGCACTGAAACAGTTTGGTGATCATGGACATTGCTGCTATGAACATTGGGGTACATACGGCCCTTCTTTTCACTACGGTTTTTCACTTACTTGTGGAGCATAAGGAATAACATGGAGGACATTAGGAGAAGGAAAGGAAAAGTGAATTCAGGGAAATCGGATGGGGAGATGAACCATGGAGACTGTGGACTCTGAGAAACAAACTGAGGGTTTTGGAGGGGAGGGGAGTAGGGGTTTGGTGAGCGTGGTGGTAGGTATTAAGGAGGGCACGTATTGCATGGAGCACTGGGTGTGATGCATAAACAATGAATCTTGGAACACTGAAAAAATAAAATTAAATTTAAAAAAAATTTTTTTAAAAAAGCACCAAAATACAGTGCTGCCTCCAGATATTTATACTTGCTGTTACTTCCTCAAGAAAGACCCTTCACCCGACTCTCCACCTGACTCAGTGACTTCATTCCACATCTCCTTACCCACTCCCTTATCGGCAGAGATGGCTCTGTGTAGCCTAACTAAAGCTTGGCCACCCACACAGTCACTCTCCATATGCTTGATTTTTCTTTTTATCACTACCTAATGTATATCTTTTGTTGCCTGAATCCTCCCACTAGAATATAAGCTCTAGGAATCAGAGACTGTTCTGTTTTTGTTCAGTACCGTATCCTCAGAAATAGCAGTATCTACACGCAAGTCCTCAACTTCTTTTTAAATTTTAATGCCCGTAGAGTTAACATACGGTATTACATTAGTTTCAAGTGTGTTAAGGTCCTCAACTTTTGAGGAATGAACATCTAGAACCTCCTTTGTCATGAGCTTTCCCGTGAGAATCCTTTTACTGTGAAGACACTTGCAGCTTCTCAGAGTTCTGCTCCTCACGGGGCCCTCTCATCCATCATGGTCACCTTCCCAGACACACTGAAAAAACAATGATCATAATAACCCTGAGGTAATCTTTGATACCTAGTTGCGATTTAAAACTCCCATTTCCCTGCTTTCCTTATCCCTCACAGAAAAACTCCAAATAAATAAGATTATTTGTGGCTCTCTGATAAAACAATAGATATGAATGACATTATAAAATCAAACATCTTGTGAGTCACAGAGTTGGCAGAACCTAACATGTCCACAGTCCTAGCTCAAGGCCCCGTCCTCAACCTCAGAACTTTGACCAGACATTCGGTGGTAACAGTAGTAAAAGTCAAACACAGACCCAGGGCTTTAGGAATGTGGAATGAGAAAGGTTCTGTTTGATGAAATTTCAACACGGCCCGTCATAAACTTTGACAGGGACCTGTGCGCTGGGGGGAAAGGGGAGGAGGGAAAGGTGTGGCGGTGAAGGCCACAGGCATTCTAGTGTAGGACCCCAGGAAGATGTGTGCTTGTGGGAAAAGACTGGAGAGTCAAGCATGGTTTTGTGGCTGGTGTGGGGAGATAATGATGTATGAAGGTATTTGTTTTAAGAACAGTAACAGGAAGACGGAAAATCATCACCAGTACCATTTTCTGATCACTTCTTAAGTGCTAGGCAATGGATGAACTGTAAAAAAAACATACTGTAAAAAAAAGCAAATCCCACAATAATTCTATAAGGGAAGCTTAATAACACCTATTTTATGAAGGTGAAAAATGAATTTTTCTTTTTTTAAAAAGTTTGTTTATTTATTTGACACAGAGAGAGATCACAAGTAGGCAGAGCAGCAAGCAGAGAGAGGCAAAGCAGGTTCCCTGCAGAGAGCCTGATGCGGGGTTGATCCCAGGACCCTGAAATCATAACCTGAGCCAGAGGCAGAGGCTTAATCCACTCAGCCACCCAGGCGCCCCCAAAAATGAATTTCTTAAGAAGGTATTTAACTGCCAAAAGTCTCAGAGTGAGTAAGTGACAAAGTAAAGATTACAATCCAATTTTATGCACCTCCCAGTCTCAGGTTATTAACCAGGAACCCATCTGGTTCTTAAAGGGAATGTTTTCTTCACGCTACCCACACCACCTGCAAGGGCACTCAGGCCGTGACGTCGCTGCGCTGATTCATACGATAGCTCCATTCTTCTTAGCACTGAAAAGCACCCTACAGCTCTTCCTAAGATATCTGTAGGCTCCCTCCACAGTCCCGCTCTGCTTCCTTTCTGGAAGCACATCGTACAGACCTAAGCTGCTTTCTTTTTCCTGGCAGTGTAGGGCAGAAAAGGCACTGGTGCTAGAGCAACGTAGACCCAGGTCTAAATCCTAAATACATTGATCTAGTTTTAGAACACTGGAATGATTCCCGATCTAAGATGCGGCTCCGTCTTTTGTGCATTGCTGAGATAAATTCCTCCCTTAGGAGTATAGTTGTGATAATTACCTAAGCCAATGCAGAGAATAGTCTCAATAAAGATTAATTATGGCTACCCTTACGCTGGTGCTGCTCTCTGATCCTTCAGTGCTCTTGCCTGCCACCAGGAGGAAAAGGGCCTCTTCATATTTTTAGCAGGGACAAAGCAAAGTCTGGTGGAGAGATAGCTCTTCATAAGTATCTGTTATAAGAATTTATGAATTACTTTCTTACCCCTTTTCATTTCTTCTTACTTCTTTTGGAACTAGGAGAAAAATCCACTATTAAAATTCATAACAAGATTTAATGAGATGGCACTTAAGGACAATGTGAGAGAGCTTGACCTGAGTTAGTTGTCTCCATTTGCCTGCGGAAAGGATTAGTTAAGAAGTGTGGAGATGCCTTAAGAAATTAAAAATAGGGCTACCTTATGACCCTGCAAGTACACTGCTGGGTATTTACCCAGACATACTGATGTAGTGAAAAGGGCCATCTGTACCCCAATGTTCATAGCAGCAATGGCCACAGTTGCCAAACTGTGCAAAGAGCCAAGATGCCCTTCAACAGACGAATGGATAAAGAAGATATGGTCCATATACACAATGGAATATTATGCCTCCATCAGAAAGGATGAATACCCAACTTTTGTTATCAACATGGACATGGACGGGATTGGAAGAGATTATGCTGAGTGAAACAAGTCAAGCAGAGAGAGTCAGTTATCATATGGTCATTTACTTGTGGAGCATAAGGAATAACATGGAGGACATTGGGTGAAGGAGAGGGGAAGTGAGTTGGGGGAAATCAGAGGGGGAGACAAACCATGAGAGACTGCAGACTCTGAGAAATAGACTGAGGGTTTTAGAGGGAAGGGGGATGGGGGTTAGGTGAACCTGGTGGTGGGTATTAAGGAGGGCACGTATTGCATGGAGCACTGGGGTGTGGTGCATAAACAATGAATCTTGGAAGACTGAAAAAATAAAATTAAATTAAAAAAAAAAAAGAAAGTTAGAAGCTTCTCTAACTATACAACTTGAGATCCTAGAACGTACTCTAACTTTACTGTTTGTGCTGAATTAAGATAGATGCCCTCATTGAAAAACACTATTTTATTCTCATTATTAGACATTTTCAGTTGTGCAATTATATTACCATTGTCTTAAATCACAATGAGAATTTTTTACACATTTTTTCTTATGTATGTATCTACGTGTGTATAGAGTGAGTGAGTATGTGTTTCTGCATTTAATCACTTTCCTTGGAAACCATTTGCTCTGCTCACCTAGCTGGACTCTTCTCAGGGACATTAAAGAAGAGCCAACTCACAAATGCACCACCTCATTGAAGACACACTAGCCCTGGGGTCTCAGTTGTGACCTTCATGTACAGGACAGGACACAGGGCATTTCTGCCTCATAGATGCAATGCATTAACAGCCAAAAACTGGAAATAATCCATAAAACCATTAACTGGTAAATGAAAAGATTGTGGTATATTCCATACAATGGTATATTACCAAACAATAAAATGGAACTGATACTTACACAAGACAAGTCTCAAAAGCATGATACAAAAGGAAAGAAGCTAGATATCAAAAGTTATTGTATGGTTCCATTTATATGAAATCCTAGAAAAAATAAAACTATGCTATTTGAAAACAGACTAGTGGATGCCAAAGCCCAGTGTTGTGAGAAGGGGATTAACTGCATCAGGACACAAGGAACTTTTGGGGGTGATGGAAATGACCTTTATAAATGGTTGTGTTGGCAGTTGCACACCTGTATACGAAACAAAACTCACAGAATTGTATGCTTTAAAATCGATTTTTTAAAAAAAGATTTTTTGTTTGTTTATTTGACAGAGAGAGATCACAAGTAGGCAGAGAGGCAGGCAGAAAGAGAGAGAGGGAAGCAGGCTCCCCACTGAGCAGAGAGCTCAACCGCGGCACTGGATCCCAGGACCCTGAGATCATGACCTGAGAGGAGGGCAGAGGCTTAACTCACTGAACCACCCAGGCGCCCTAAAATTGATTTTATAGATGTAAATTATAGCTCATTAGAGCTGATTACTACAAAAACAGAACAAAGAAACACATTGAGAAAAGTTAAAGGCTTGTCTTTCTGATCTTCTAAGCATAAATTAGAACTGAGCTGTCTAATATTGTAGCCACCTGAAACGTGGCTAGTCAAAAAATGAGATGTTTTAAGTATAAAATACACACCAGATTTCAAAAGATTTTGTTAGAAAAAATAATCTAAAACATATCACTAACACCTTTTATATTGATAACACATCCTAATATTTTATATTATTGATGCACTGAGTTAAGTAAAATATATTCAAATCAATTTCACCTGTTTCTTCTTTTTAATGAGGC